TTATAGTACTTGCCTTGACTTAGAACTTTCTACGTGTTCAGGGACAGTGTTATAAAAAAGGTATTCCATTTGCATGATATATTTCTCTAGCACAAAACAGGAGTGATTTTGGTATGTATGGAAATGCATTTGTTATCTTCACAGAAACAGAACAAATAAGTCTCACTGCCTACCAGAAACTTTGTCTCATTTTAGTTTAGCACACAAAACTTTTTTCTTTTTTTTTTTTTAAAGGAGACAATTTCTAATAATAACACACCTGCACTGAACTGGTGTGAGGAAATATGGGATTTCTACAGACAATTCAGCTCAGTTCTTCCAGAACATCATTTATCTGCCCCAACTTCAAGCTCATTCTCTCCCTGCTTGCAATTCCTCCTCCTGTGTTACATAAACCTTGCCTCATTTAAATGGCAAAATCAAAACACAGCCAAAAGTCTCCTTTAATAGATAAGTGGACTAGAGCTGGAAGTATAAAAGCTAAAAGAGGCAGCACAGAGAAAAATTCTACATTGATAAAAATGACCTTTCCTCCTTCTCTGTGATCTAAAAACCCCAGAAGTTACTTCCGAAATATCCTGTTCAAGGCACAGGGCAGCAACAGCAGAACAGCTGAGGCCCAAGAGTTGCTTACCCCCCACTCACATGCAGATGCTTACTGCCTTTTCATCAAGGAATAAACCATCTCCAATTACTATAAGCTAACGTGTTATTCAAGGATAAATGTGTGCAGGCTCTTGTCCCACACTAAAATGCAGGCAATTCAAGTAGCTTACATCTGATTCTAATTACATGAATGTTTTAAAAATCTATACTCTGTCTTGATGTGAGATCCAGCCTTCATTCCTCACTCTGCTATTCAGCCTGTACCCATCACTTCCACCTCCCAACAGCATTCACACCGGGACAGAGAGAAAGACACCTGCAATGAATTCCACCAACACTTTTTTTTAAAGCAAACCAAAACGCTCCAAGAAGTACAAGAAAAACATGACAGTTTTCCTTACCTGACAAAAATTCCAATTTTTAATTCTCCCTTTATACTTTGTTTATTCTGAAGCCTTCTTGAGTATCAGTTCTTAAAAAATTATATAGCTATCTTTATTCTTTTGGGAAGAGGGCTGGAGCATCTCTCCTATGAAGGAAGGTTGAAGAAACTGGGCTTGTTTGGCTTGGAGAAGAGAAGGCTCCGGGGAGACCTCACTGCAGCCTTCCAATATATCAAGGGAGTGTATGAACAGGAGGGGGATCAGCTATTTACAAGGGTGGATAGTGATAGCACAAGGGGGAATGGTTTTAAACGAGACAGGGGAGGTTTAGGTCAGATATTAGGAGGAAGTTCTTCACACAGGGGGTGGTGACGCACTGGAACAGGTTGCCCAAGGAGGTTGTGGATGCCCCATCCCTGGAGGCATTCAAGGCCAGGCTGGATGTGGCTCTGGGCAGCCTGGTCTGGTGGTTGCTGACCTTGCACATAGCAGGGGGTTGAAACCAGATGATCATTGTGGTCCTTTTCAACCCAGGCCTTTCTGTGATTCTATGAAATAAGGAAATTATGTACTGATGAAAATTCATTTACAATAGCTTTCCTCATCATCTCATGCACACTCTGTTTAAAGGTTGTCGGGTGAGGTTAAAGTTGTTTCAGGCTGGAGTATCTAATACAACAGGACATAAGCTGCAGTGAAGACTTTCATATGAAGGCAACACAGTAAGTGTATGTAGGCTGTGCAACCACCACTAGGTGCAACCCCATCTGCCTAATTCGGGTGAAACTGCAAGCAGTACCCAAGGGAACAATAGAGTCAATGCAATATCACCAACTAAACGTTTTTCTACTTAATAAAAAAGAGATAATTGACCACCACAGACCTCCACTACCTTTGCCACCTTCTGAATAGAGCAGCAAAAAAAGGTTAAATTCTAGCATGACTCTCTTGAACAGGACTCTCAGGTAGGAAATAAGACGATGACCATAGCATCACTCTTCTCTATTTCCTGTCTCAAAGCTGAACTGCCTGAAAAGCAGATGCATTGATAAACTGCATGCTATCACTGTTAGTACGACTGCGTGTGATTAGCATGTTTTGTAATTCAGATGTTATGAACAAGTTGCAAGGCTTCCCCCCCACATATTGATTTGAACCATTTGCTGTACAGCTTGCAGACCACAGGCACTCCTGCAAAAGGTCTCATTAAGTGCCCTGCTTTTATACTCCCAATTAGAAGTGATTACGCCCACTGCAGCTGGCTGAATGACTGCCACTGATTGCAAACTGCAGTCTGCTCCAGTCGCAGGTTCCTGACTGGTCCAACAAAGAATAAGACAAAGAAAGGTCACAGCATCCTTCATATGGTCAAAACCAAGAAAAAAAAAGCACAAGTACAAATAATAATAATAAAAAAGCATACGTACAAATATGACAATAATAAAAACAAGGAGATTTACATGTTTGCATAGATTCATACAGGGCAATGCACATATTGAAGCAAATGGGAGTAGTCATGCATGTGGAGTTATAAATGTGTGCCAGTTTTCCCAATTTTCAGTTCAACAGCCTGGTAACTGTGGCTGGGTTTAACTGCATGAATAAAACATGCCTGCTGACAGTGACTAAGGTAATATTTCAGTATTTTTACCGACGTTCTGTGCTTCTGAAAATCTGTGAAAGATGACAGGTCACGTGGGGATTCAACCTTACCCAAACTTTCAGCTCACCAACTGCGCTGCTGCTCTGCAATTAAAACTCGGGAAAATCGTTTCACCATTTCCGAAATTCAGGGCCATTTCACAGGTGACCAAATCACGCCCCTTTTCCTGCCCCAAGACCTCCTTAATTTGACAGTGTACATTTTTAATCAGCCAGACAACACGTGTTTAGATGTCATTAGGACAATAACTGGTCCTCAGACACATCTCGAAAACAAAGATTCAGTCATGGGCAGCATCCGGCCCTCAAAATCCTTTTTTCTCATGTACAACAATACACGAGAACGTAGTTGGCTTTTACAGCCAAAAAAAGCCAATTTGAATCTATAGTTGTTAATGCTTTTGTTTGCTTGTTGTAAATTCTTTAACTGAGTCCTATGTTCATCATCTCTAACACAGTTATTTCTGTGCAGAAACCTCATAGAATCTGTGTACATACATATTTATTATTAATTTAATTTTATTATAATAAATTAACATATAGTTTTATTATATTATAATATTATTTACAAGTGCATTTCATTGTTCTTGCCTATACACAACATGCTGTGCCTGACTGCACACTGACTGCGAAGGATGAGCTGTGGTTAGCAAAAAAAGGCTAAAATGCACAATGACAACGAGACAAAGAAAGTGGAAGATTATTTCCATATCCCTCCCTGTTCTAGGTGTGTTTTAAACTGCAGCATTCTTTCTCAAAATAATTATCTTTTCCTGCTTTCTTTTTATAAGCCAGTCAGGTTATATTACATGATAGATGTAATTGTCCTAATTTACTCAAGAAGCCAAGTGAGAATTACAGAGCAAAACAGAGCCAGGGACAGTGTACCAGCTCTGAAACTTATGCATGTGATTTCCATGACAAGAGACCCAAATACCTCGCAGGACCCAATTAAGAAGAGCAGTGACTTTTTAAGAACTGCATTTAGAAATGCTTCATGATAATGTGAAAAAGAGAGGGGAAGAGAAAGTACTTGTAAGGTATGCAGAGAAAAGAGATCAGAACCTCTGATATTCGCTGTACAATAAAACTGGGATTTGGGGCATCATCAGAAACAATCAGCTGTCTTCTTTCGTATCAGTTCCTTCATAAGCCTTCTTGCTACCTTCACACATTTGTACCTTATTCCTCCAAGTTTAATAAGAGCATCTTTGTCAAGAAGTGCTGTAAGTACTGCTCTGGCATTTTCAATTTCTTGCTGAAAGAAACAGTGAGGCACACAAGAGAAGAAGCTTTAGGATTGTAGTGCCACTGTTTGCAAATAAAACAAATCTTTATATATATATGAAAAAAAGGAAAATACAAGGAAATAAGGGGGAAAAAAAGTATATCTCAAGGGGCTGAAAAGACCTACCTGCTTCCCTTTCTAGAATCTTGAATACCACAGGAATTAAAAAAAAAAAAAAAAAAGAAGAAGAATGTAACCATGTGTTCTCACCCAGATTTGAGCTGTGACTGCTGGGTGAGCTTCGTCAAACTAGGCTGACAGCTTCTTGATATAGAAGGGGAGCAACCCAAGAAGCTCTCCTGAACTTTTCCTCCCTGCTGTAGGCAGGGACACCTCCCACTAGACAAGGTTGCTCACAGCCCCATTCAGCCTGGCCTTCAATGCTTCCAGGGAGGGAGGATCCATAACCTCGCTGGGCAACCTGTTCCAGCGTCTCACCACACTCACAGTAAAGAATTTCTCCCCAGTATATAGTCTAAATTCACCCTCTTACAGTTTAAAACCATTTCTCCTTGTCCTGTCATGACCTGCCCTTATAGTAAGTCCCTCCCCAGCTTTCCTGTAGACCCCCTTCAGGTACTGGAAGGCTGTAAGGTCCCCCATGAGCCTTCTGCAGGCTGAAGAGCCCCAGATCTCTCTGAGATTATCATGTTTTCCTCCTTCCAGTAACTTCAAAGAGAAAATTTACTCAGAAAGCTGTTAAGCTAAATATGCCTGGTAAAAACATTCCATGGTTGCAGTAAAATCACCTGCTTATTTACACTTGCAAAAGAAATAAAGAAACTCAGCAATTTAATAAAGCAGTAAACACAAAAAGTCACAAAGACAGCGGTAAATTTCATCGGAGATGAGACAACATCTGCAGAGCTACCAGAAAAGATCCCCCATCGCTGCTCAGGGAGAAAGGCACCACTGTGGGTTCCCCTTTTTTACTTTACATGTGAACCTTAAGTTTTACCAAGTTTTTTTGTTTCTGCAACACTACATCATGCACATAAACAAAGCAAGGATCTTCCAAACAGGTGGCAGTAAAACAGAAAGTAACTGATAACTCAATATACCTGCTGATAGAAAAAATTTAAAGTTGGTTTGTCCTCAGTGAACTGGTTTAGAAATCCTTTGGGCAGGTATCGAATTCTCAGTTCGTATCTGAAAAACAAGGAAGAGAATTAAACTGGTAAGACGAATAATATCAGACTTCATTGCAACCACAGACAATCTTCAAATGTTGTACAAAATACAGATAAAATCAATACAAACACTGAAAACTAAGTAAAAATTCTAGCATTTGACCACTTGGAACACTAAATCAGAGAGCACCATACCACAGAGTGCCTGACATTTCATAAACACGCTTTCAAATGACCTGCACATAAAAACAAACATAAAACCCTCATGCTTCCCAAAGCTTCACTGAGGACTGAAGCGTCAGGACTCAGAGCAGATAAGCCATTAGGTGCAGACCCATGAGAAGGGTGCCCTCTGTGAGGTGATAGCAGCACGTGAGCTGCCATAGCCATAGGTGTGACCCCCTGCCTCTTCCTTGGCATGACATCCCTGTACAGATCTCACTGCTCCGAGGGGAAGCGTCAGCAGGGAGCCACATCCTACAGATCCTGCAAAACAGGGGCACAGAAAACAACATTTGTAAAACAATCTTCAGGCTGCAGGTTATAAAAGAGATGGAGGATGAAGCCAGGCATAAATGAAAAAATAAGTCAAAATCACATTTAATGAGAGTCATGTTTTGAGAGCTGTCTTGAGAAGGTGCACAGGATCACCCTTTATTGCTGGTCTGTGTTTCCATTTCACGATTGTCACCTTGGTCCTTTTACAACGATGGATAGGGGGTATTTCCTTATTCACCTCAACTTTTAACTTTAATCCAAACTGTACCCATTCAGTGGCACTGTCTTTAAGATGATAAAACTCACAGGCACAGGTACTTTTCTTCCCATCCTGTTTAGAGAGTGGCTGGTTGGGTGTCTGGCAGAAGCCAGCATCACCTACCACAAGTGCTTGATCAAGGGAACCTCCAACTGCCTGGAAGAGGAACATTATGATACAACACATGTTTTGGACAGCTTATTTAATGATGAAGTCTGAAGATAGGGTTGAATTATCACAAATATGAATAAGAACTCTGTATTTGATCATCCAAAGTATAAAGAACAAACTGAGTCAACACTGTTAAGTCACTCTGTACCATCTCTTCTATCTTTCCGTTGTCTTGCAAGGAAAAAACAGAGATTGTTCAGGCCCCATGAAATGCATACAGAACTTATCTCAAATCTTCAAAGAAACACATGCTGACTCTGTCATCTTGATAAAGAGATGAGAAAATATGGGAAAAGTAGTATTTCCTGTACAGAACTTGGTCTGCTTCACTAAGGAGGCATGAGAAGCACTGCTTTTTGCAACAGGATCTTGTGAGAAAAATAAGGCAAGGTAAAAAGCTTGGCTGGGACAGCTACAGTGACATTCATTACCTATTTATAAAGTAATCTCTGATTACACTTATGGGAATGAAGAAGACAATTTCCACAGACCAATTCAAGGTTGGGCTTGATTTTCCATATCCTCTGAACATACTTTTTGAAATGTGGCCAACTCAAGAGAGAAGTCCCTTCCCACAAAATGGATCTGCTTGCTGAGCAAGCCATTGATGTCTACCTCCCTTTAGTCTGATAAGAACACTATTCAGAAGACTACAATTCCAGTTGTTGCTATGTATCTGTGTTGGGGTACAGGAGTTTCCATGCACACAGTCTTCCACTCCAACCTTCAGAACAATGGGCATCACAGTGAAAAAGCTGTACGCTGTAAGTAAGCACAGCACACACTGCTGAGTAGTTCCAGGAGCTTCTCTTGGAAAAACAAGCACTACCTGGGCAGAAGCTGAAGAAGAACGGATGATCCAAGTCTTCATACCTCAGGAACAGCAGAAGAAATAACCCAACCACGTAATTTAGTTCCAGCAGGATCTGATTCAGTTTGCATCAGCAGAAAAGGAAACAGAAAAGAGAAGATGGGAACAAATAGGGTGGACACAGTTGGGAGAAAATAGCCTTGTGTGAGATTAATGAACTGCATCAGGCTGCTGGAGGATTAAGCAAGCATTAGAGCTCACAGAAGAAAAGGCAGAGGGTTGGATAACTGGAAGCACGAAAGGGGAGAAGAGAGCTGTGAGGTTATTTGTTGCCTCATTAAATCACACCACGAGTCTTCTGGTCTTTGTGCCAGTGCAGAGGCACTTGTGCTGATAAAAGAATTTGTAACACACTACAGCTAAGCAATGGGGCTTCCTTAAGAGTGTCTTTCACCTGTTATAGCCAAAGTACGAATGGCATGCAGTTACAAGGACCAGCTCCACCTATGCACCTTAACCACAGAACAGGAAGATCTCTACCCTATACAGAACACAGTTGTTCCAAGCAATACAATTTGTTACATGAATCTCTCAATTTTCCCCATATGGGGCCAAAAAAGGGCAGTAAATGGAATGGTGCTTTGGCATATACCATTTTTAAAGGACAGGATAGCTGCTGTGACTGTTGGTAAAGGCATAGCCTTATCAAAAATAATCAGGGCTGATGTAATGATTTAAGACTCTCAGATCCTGACGTTCCAACTTCAACCTGCCATACAGGAATAAAGAACACACGTCAGAGAGGAAGATTAATTCCTGTTTCACTCTTATGCCCTTCGAAACATCCAACCATTAATATAATACTACAAGTGAAGAGGAATTTCTTCATTAAAAGATGAGTCTGATGCATGCCTTGCTGACATAAACACTAAGAGGAAACCTGAAGCAAATAAATCAAAGGCACTCCGGTCTTTATTACCTTCACATGAAACACCACTGGGGTTTCATTCGTATTTCAATTGTCATCTTGGAACATCTTGCACACACAGGTCTATAGGACTTCATAAAACGTAATGCTTAACAAAGAATTAATTTATGCTGCAGTAAGATAAACCTGACAGCAGCAGTGTCACTGGAATTCAGCAAACTCTCAAACTACATTTGGATGACTAGAGTTATTCTAAAGCAAATACATGAAATTGTGCTTAAATTATGCAATACTGTTGTAGTGTTAAACCTTGGACATCTCTTTGAGATAAGACAGCATTACTCAGGACTCCCTCCTTCCTTCCACTTACTTTCAGGACTCAACTGTTTCCATCTTGTGCAAAACTGTCTTTTTTTTTTTAAGCAAGAAAGAGGTTAATATTATACATAAAAGTAAACATGAAGGTCAGAAAAGACTTCCAGTAAGCAATGATTTCCTGTTTGTCTTTTGCCACATAAATGGTTTTATCCATTGGTACTTTGGCAAATCTCAAGCTGTGTGTGCTCCTGCAAGCGAACTGCTTGCCAGAGAAAAAGAATTTGAAATAACAGAAATCTGGGTGACTTTGTTGCCCTGATGTCCACTACTCCTCCTAGACTCTAACTACAGCTGTGTCATCCAGAGCAGTTGCATCCTTGTGCCATGCCACTAGGCCATCCTCCAAAAGGACTATAAACAGGACAGGACCAGACAAAAGCTGCACACACTGGAGACACATTTTACCCTGGTAACCTGCGTACATCCCACTGATAATCAGTGTAGCTTCCAGCATCTGGATAAGTCCAAAAGAACATCTCAGATCTTACTTCTGAGCATCAACTACAAAGCCCTTTTAATTTAGATGATTAAAAAATCCACAAGAGACATTTATTGGATTATTAATACTATAGGAAGCTTTCCATTTAAGAATCATTCCAAGACGCCTCTCCCTTTACTCATCTAAATATTTTTACAAGTACTGTCATTTGATCTTAAACACTCTTTTATGGTATTACAAATACGACAGCAATGTTTTGATACACACAGCAAATCTCCACGGGTTTAAAAGGTATGTCGGCTGCATGGATCCAATAACACAGAAAACGACACCTTGGAAAGGTACTGAATAATTTACACCTTATCACAGCTCTTTCATGAGTTATTTTATACAATTCCTATTCAGGAACTTCAAAACAATTCATCTAACTCTGCTTTTCAAACCGATTAACTGTGTTCTGCGATGTGCACAGTGTGAGCTGTGCCACGTAATAAGAACTGGTACTGGCAATTGTGCACTATGTGACACATTTCCACCGCATAAATAATTCACATCTTATACACAGCACAACTATCATGGAACTCATTCAGGAATTGCTTACTTCCAAATCTGTATTTTGCAGTATTATCAATGTAAAATTTCTTGTAAGGAAGGACAAAGGTTGACACACACCCCAGAAACAATAAAACTCAACACGTGTAGAAGAGAACTTCCTAACGTTTCCAGCATGCATGTTTTCAACAATTCTAATTTATTTGATATTATAAAGTCAGGACACTAAAGAGAATTTATAAACTGTGACATCTGCTAGCATATGATGCAAACTCAATTTGCAAAGAATTAAGTATGGACTATTTACAATAATTTTGCAGCAGACAATACTTACAGCCTTCAAAGTAATAGAGCAAACTAGCACAAATTGTGGTTATGAATACATTACAGAGAAAAATAGGCACAACCCACCTGCACTGAATCCATAGTAGCACTTCATCTACATTTTGGTATTGTCACAAGTTCAACATCACACTCGGCATTTCAGAACTCCCTCTCTTCTCTAGTAAACTACTGCATCCTTCTGCAAACACTTCCTCTCATTTTTCTGCCAGCAAAGTGAAGAACCTTTTCTGTCTTCCTCTCCAGTCTACATCCTCTCCTGAGCATGCACCCTCACTTTGCTCTTTGTCTCTTTTCAGCTTGCTCTGATAAGGTGAAGAAAACTCAACCTTAAACAGAACACAGTTGGCTGAAAGAAGTGGTATCACCTAACTAGTATCATGCAAATAGGTCAGCAAATGCACCTAGGCTACAAAAGAACAAAAAACAGACATATGTGGTTATGCTTCCATTCTTCATTGATCCTAGTATAACTGATTGCTCCGGGCCTCAATTCCTTAGTTTTATAACTAAAACATCTCAGAACTGCAAACCAACCTACTTCCTGTATTTCATCCCTTCTAAATTCCAACTCTCCTGTTTAGTCTGCATAAATACAGTGAATGTGTAACAATATCTTCTTGTTTTCAGTTAAGCAATAGGATCTTTTAAAATTTTTAGAGGTGTACATACACCAGAGATAGAATCATAGAATCACCAAGGTTGGAAAAGACCTAAAAGATCACCCAGTCCAACCGTCCACCTACTCCCAATAGCTCCCACTAAACCATGTCCATCAACACAACATCCAGCCTTTCCTTGAACACCCCCAGGGTCGGTGATTCCACCACCTCCCTGGGCAGTCCATGGAGGTGGAGATAACACCAAGATTCTTGTACTAAAACCTGAGGGACGACAAAACCTGAGACAGGGTTCGCTAAACAAAGCCCAAGTTTTGCAGATCTTCAGGACATGTGCCAGATTTCTGCTCCTACTTTATGCCTCCTCTAAATCCCAGGTTACATGTATGTGTTTTTCTCGGTTTGTAGGAAATCCCTTCCAACAACAAAAAGCATACTTCACCACTTCCAGCTCTCTGATGCAACAAGTCTTGTTTTGTTTCTGTTTTACAAGATCTTGCTTAATAAAGGAAATTACAGTCAACTTTCATGACAACGTAAACAGACTCATATGACATGATTTTGACACTGAACAGATTCATGGTCTTACTTCCATTCTTCTGGAGGATGTGCTAGTTCAAATTTCTCTCTCACATTGGATACTCCCATGTCCAGGTGCAGCCAGTGAACCTCCTCAGACTGCAGATGACTGAGTCGCAACCCATAGCAGGCCACATTTTTCACTTTGTGACAGTCCACGATCTTCTGTATTATGCCCTAAAACAGCGAAACACACTCCTTAAAAGCCATAAAATGCAATATGTATTTGTAAATAAATTAATTCTGCAGTAAGAATTCAAAATGTGACCATGTCAAACACTACACAAAACTATACTAAGCAATGAACAGACAGCACCTTACTTAAGAATACTAAACAATTTAAACTACTGTTTTGGACAAACATCTACAATTTCTGAAGCTTTATTGGCAGAAATCATCACATATGCAGGCTTCTACGAATCTTACCACAATTAAGCCCCTATTCCTTTCATGTAAAGTAACATAATGTAAAAAGCAAAATATAAAAAAACAGATTTGTGGATGAAAGGAAAATATGAAAAAGCAGCACCAGATCTTTAAAAAAAAAAAATCAATCACCCAATGTGCAACTGGAAAAACATCTTAGATGCTCATCCTGTTTAGTGCCTGAATTGCCAGGATTTAGCAGGTCACATCACAGCCTCTTGACGTCCCCCACTCCTTTCTTCTTGAGCTCCAACAAATCCCACATAAAATGAGGCAAGAGACAATTATTTGGGACTATTAAATTACAACGTGTTAGTAGATGATGGATTAGCAATCTCTCTAGTGCCATGTGCTGGGCTGTTCTGCTCTTACCCAGATTAAAAAGTCAGCAGGGGACCAAAGTTGCTGCCTCACAGCCTGCTAGAGAGTAAGCTGCAGGGCAGCAGAGTCCTGCCAGGGCTGAGCCCCATGCCCAGCAGGAGCACAGCTATCACTGCTGCCAGATGCTTCTTTCAGAAAATCATTTTTTCCCTTCTGAGCTGGATGCATCCTACTGAAAATGCTCATTATCCATAGATATATACATAGCCATATACACAAAATGTTGCTTCTTGCACAACGTTTCAGAGAACATCAACGCACAGGTTAAAGGAGCCAGATGTTGCCAGATGTGGTTTGACACTGCTTCCCCAAATTGATGAGTTTATATCCCAAAGACATAATTTAAGACAGCCTTGCAAGCCACGTGGAGATGCTCACAGTACCAAACACAGACACCACCATTGCACGTTGGGACCAGTGTCAGATCCTCTGTCTTGCACAGTCACAGTGCGAGAAGCCTTGCCACGAGCACGCCTGATATTTTCCCCAGGAGCAGAGCCGAATGCTTAATCAGAAGTTTCTATAGAAAATTTCTAAAGAAAATATTTAACTGTTTAACCACTGCACACAGACAGTAAAACACCCTGCTGAAAACTCTGAGTTGAAAGGGACCCATAAGGATTATTAAGTCCAACTCCTTTACACCTAACAACCTTCAGTATCACCAAAGAAAACTGAAACCTCTTCAGATAGACTGCAACCACCTCTTAGCTCAGGAAGCTCTTCAGAGGCGTTCTTCAGTGAAAACCAAACAGTTAAGGAACATCTTGATGACACTGCCAACTTCGGTGACAAACTCAGAGCTTCAAACCCATCCCAGCTGGAAATCCTGGCAGGAGAGCTGGACTCCAGTGGACATCTACACCAGAACAGCATTTTTCTTCGGGTGTAAACTGAGTGTCCATGTGAATATCAATTTCTACCAGTTTTCACCCATCTGTTGTCACACTCATCTAAACACAGAGCTGCAGTGAAGTCACACAACCATATGTAAGCTGGGTGCTGTTTACTGTAATCACATTGTCTTTAATTAGGTTTGCAGAGCCGACATTTACATCCCAAACACAGAGTAGGCCAGTACAGCTGAGCAAAAGAGAATGGAAAGCCCTTAGAGAAATCTTCTATCAGTAACAGGTGATAGGTCATCTGGTCCCTCCCTTTAGCTCAAGAGTGGAGGCAAACACAAAATTAAAAATAAAGCCTCATAAAGAACCACAAAGCTGGATAGCACTGGTTTTCACTTATTCGTTCAAATAACTCACAGTTACTCAACAGGTAATTTGCAAAATAGATTAATATTTGTCCTCAATTAGAAGTTAAAAGCATCCAAGAATAGAATTTAAAGTAAAGTACAGTTAGGAAGATGCTGAAAATCAAGACTGGCCAGAGAAAGGCTGAAAGACACAAAGTTGCAGAATGGCACTTTAAATATCACCTAATTCCAACAGCCTGCCACTGGCAGGGCTGCCAAGCACTAGATCTGCCCAGTATCCCACCCAACCTGGCCCTGAATATCTTCAGAGATGGGGCAAACTCTGCCTCATTACCTTTCAAGAAAAAAAAATAATTCCTAACATCTAACCTAAATCATCTCCTCTCTTTTAGTTTAAAGCCATTTTCCCTTTTTCTATCACTATAAGACCATGTAAAAAGTCAGTCCTCCTCCTTGTAAGGCCACTCTAGAAGGCCACAGTGAGGTCTCCCCAGAGTCTTCTCTAAGATAAACAAGCCCAGTTCTCCCAACCATTCCTCACAGGAGAGGTGTCCAGTCTTCTCATCATCTTATTGGCCCTTCTCTGGACCTGCTCCAACAGCTCCACATCCTTTCTGGACTGAGGACCCCAGGCCTGGACACAGTGCTGCAGATGGGGCCTCACAAGGGCAGAGCAGAGGAAGACAATCCCCTCCCCGTTCCCTGCTGGCCATCCTTCTGTTGATGCAGCCCAGGATACTATTGGCCTTCTGGGCTGCAAGAGCACACTGCTGGCTCGATGTTCAGCTTCTCATTCATCAGGACCCCCAAGTCATTCCCCACAGGGCTGCTCTCACTGAGTTCTTCTCACAGTCTGTACTTGTAACTGGGTTGCCCTGACCCAAGTGCAACACCTCACATTATGGCCTCGTTAAGCCTCATTAGATTCTCATGTGACCACTTTTTAAGCGTGTCAAAGTCCCTCTGGATAGCATTCTTAACCTTCTGTTAAGACCACTCAGTGTCGTGTCATCAGAAACTTGCTGAGGGTGCACTCACTGCCGCTGCATTCACTGCTGATAGAGCTGTTGCAGAGTTCCAAGATGGACTGCTAAGGGACACCACTCATGATGAGCCTCCACCTGATTGCAGAGCCACTGACAACAACAATTTGGCTTCAATATCCAACCAGTTATTTATCTGCACCTAACAGTACAGCCTTTAAATTCATATCTCCCCAATTTATAAGGACGATAAGGACGTGGTGCGGAACTATGTCAATGGCCTTGCACAAGTTCAGGCAGACAACATCAGCTGCATTCCCTTTGTCCACCAATGCCAGCACTCCATGATGCACTAGGCTCTCTCAGAGTTCATCAGTACTATGCTGTGATTCTGCAAATGAGTGAAAATGAATTGCTTGCTTGTAAATTAACAACGCTGTAGTGCTACTATGAATAAACTGAAGCTGGAATAACACACTCCCACTGCGACTACAAACCTAATTTCCCTATTTAGAAGGAAGGAAGACTTCTGCACTAGAAAAGACTTCTTCTAGTCTTCAAGCAGCACCTTCTACACATGGACACAGCGTTAATGTTAGTGAAGTACTTTAAATATGTATATTTATGTGTATAAATATGTATAAATACGTATAAATATGTATATGCGAACAGATCCAAACAGATTCAAGATCCAAACAGAAGTCAACTGCAAAGGTTTAGGGCAAATTAGATTTAGAACTTCTATGGAAGTGCAGAATGCCTTCACAACACTCAGGTTTGGGTGTCCTCTGATGATGTATGCCTGACATTTGAACCCCAAATGCCATAGCCCTTCTCTCTCATAATCATGTTAACGTTTTCTTCTCCCTCTTACTCTTTCCAGTACTGATGCAGTAGATGTTTGTACATCACATGACAAAGTTAAGTCTGACTAAGTCAGGTGAAAAGGAATTCTGTCACTGAACAAGTAGGTACTGAAACAATAGCCCAAAATTATGTTATTTAGGTTCCTAGCATTTTCTGCAAGTGCACAGACATCATCAGTTCAGAAAACAGAGCAATCTAAGCATTTCAGCATCTCTCACACTTAAGCCATACAAAGATCACACAAAACAGAACTGGTAGAGCCTTGCTTTCTAGTTCCCTCAACTGAATTAGCCCTTTTCTGATCCTACTGCATGCTGGTACAGTTTTGTAAATAAACTTTAGTGCTTTTGAAGTGTTTTAAATGTTTAGTTTTCCAGAAGCTTAGCATCCAGAACTCGATACTCCTTACTCTCAGATTACTTGCAAATTCCTGGTGTCCAACTCTGTATAGCTCAATTCTAGAACAAGAGCTGTTGTAGACTTCGAGGCCACCTGTAGATCCAGATTTTTTCAGTAAAATATCAAAGGGTTATTTATATAGTTTTTAAAGCATTGTTTAGTGCATCTCTTTAATCCAAGGATATCTAGAGTATCATGCAAAAGTAAAGCAGCCACCCTGAAGACCAGAAGTATATCTGTCACAATTAGTACAACTTAGCTGGTTTTGAGCTCCCTTACTGTTCACAAGCTCTCCCCAGTGAGTATGAAAGACTTCTTGTGTGGCTAATCCTTTAGCCCTATACTGTGTTATCAGAAAAATCTATTTTAAAAGAAAAACCTAGCAGATGAGGTCTACTATGTAATACCTTAGCAGTCTTCTTTACAGAAAGATAAATTATAGCAGTTGTACAGCATGCTCAGGACAGAAATGAAGATGGATGGGTACAAGCATGGCTAGAAATAAGCCTTCTCAGGGACTGAAGCTAGGCTGACATGCCTCTAATTCTTTCTTTGCCCTATCACTCAAGACAGGCAATATTCTTCCCAAGGTGTGGTTGGAGACCAGGCATGCTGCAGTGGATGATGAGGAATCCTCACAAATGAGGCTCTTTCCCCGGTGGTGCCGTAAATCTGCAAACCTGAGCAGTGCCAGCATAAACAGATATTTCCTTTCACCCTGCAGCTGTCTTAGCTGCATCCACCCGCATGATGATGCAGCTAACACTGCAAAACTGATTGGGATTAGAAACTCCACTAAAAGAATGATCTATTCTGACTTCAATCAAGCTTGCCAAACATTCACATACCTGTGCTGGCACACCTGAGACAGCAGCTTGAGAGAACAGTGAGAGGGAAGCTGGCACAGCAGCCAGAAGTGCATTCTAAGAAACCACTTGAGTTGTAGACCTGTGCAATAGACTCCATTCCACCATCAGGAACTGTAAAACATTCAGGTGTCATGTAGTGCTGCGTAAAACACACCAAGAAGCCACAGTGCAGAAACACCAGCAAAACTTCAAGGGCTTCATTCAGACAAACCTGATAGGAAGAGAAATGCTGCAAGAACAGCTAGCCAAAAAGAATTAAACACAGTCACTATAGGACAGACTTAGACATGGAAACTGCAAATAGTTTTGGATGGTAAAAATGGTGGGTATGGATTGAACAGGAGAGGTAAACAGGAAAAAAAAGTAAGGAACGCTGAATAGCACAGTAATGCAGCTTACTTAACTGCTTTAGTGAAGTACTGAGAGAATGTGCTTTAGCCCTCCTAAAAATCTCCAGTGAGGGATCTGGCTGGGATCACACAGCTCTTCTGATCACACACCCATGCTTTCTAGGATAGCACTGGAAGACTAGAAGTTGAAAAGATACAACAGAAGCGAGCCAGATGCCTCTGAGTGTAAATGCAGAGCATGAAGCAGAACTGCAGTTGAGCAAAAAGTCTTCTGTCTAGACCAGTTTGCACAAGATTTTCAAAGGCTTGTTTAATAAAAATCCACTCCTCTCATCCCTCAATCTGTTAAATGTCAACAACGCATTTATTTCTCTGCTTCAGCCACATCTTCTGGAAACAGAAAGGCAATTTACCTGTAATTGCAGCTCAAAATTCAGTGGCATTGTTTACATTCCAGGTGCACTCGAGACCAAAGAAATCCCGTCTCAGCAGCACCCACCCCACTGCATTCCGGTGCTGGGGCTGTGAACAGGGCAGAGCAAGCCCTGGAAATCCAATTTTGTGAATGTGCACACAGAAAACACATATTAACAGAAATAACAAGTTCAACAACCTTTCCTTTTCTGCATAGCAAATATAGCCAAGCACTTGCTGTAGGTGGCCAATGTTTGAACAGCCATAAAGAACTTCTTTTCTTTTGGAAATGAAGCATGTCTTCAGTTCAACACCAAGGGAAAAAGAACATGAAAGAGTGTGTCAGTTCTCTGAAATCCAAAGAAGCATTTCTAAGAATTGAAAAGTTGCTCTTCAATCCATTGGAGAATATGGGCTCATCCTTCAGAGGAAACAGCTAACTTTGAGGGTCTAAATCCATCCAGAAACAACAGTAACAGTCATCAAGTTCTCCTTAGAGCAAAGCCCACACGTAAATACTGCTGTCCTGTTTAAAGATATTTCAAGAAAAACAGCAAGGAAATTGTACCTTTAATCTGGGCACATTGAGACTCTTATAGAAAGCTAAGTTACGTTCATCTGAGCTTAACAATGAGAGTCTTTTCATTATAAAGGTTTTCCTCTTTAGTGATCAAAGATGTTTTCTACCCTGCTCTTGACAAATCATAAAAGACCTCAGTTTTTTGTTTGTTTTTTGAAAGAGGGTTTTTCCTCACTTCTTTAACCAAACACATCCTTTCCACTGTCAAAGGCAAATACAGTTTAACTTGAAACAGAAGATATTATGTTAGGGAAGCACTAAAAATAAGTGTGGAAGTTTCTTTCCTGACTTTCCTTCAGTGTTAGCACATAACACAAAGTCCTCTGCTTTATCAGCAGAAATACCTTGAAATTGGCTGCTCTGGAGATTCCAGTCCAAATCTGCCTTCCTTTCAAGGCTGGAAAGGTTCCTTGGCCATCATTCCAGCAGCCACACTAATCAGGGAGAAATCTTGAAAAAAACCTTTTCTTTCCCTTTTAGTTGCACAGTTTTCTCAAAGGCATTCACTGCTGAATACTTCCAAGAGTTCACAGAAATGAGCCAAGAGACAAACCCAGCATCAGCCTCCTTCCAGTTTGTAACCCACAGAAGAAATGGAAGCTCTACTGCAGTCAGTCTCCATTGTAAGAGGTGAAGGAAAAAACAAAGGCATAAAAAACCTTTCAAGGCTGCTTTCACCTTAAATTACTTAACTTGGTCAAACAGCAGTCATTTCAATGGAATGAAGGCTTGTACTCCAACAACCATTCACTGTTTCTAAAACAAATGTCAGGACATGGCAATCCGTCAGTGCTACGCCACTGCTATGAGTACCTGCTCATATCCACAATGACTTCTCACTCTGCCAAAATAAGAAGGCAGCTGCTTTGTTACATGAGTGGAAGTAGCAGTGAGTCATCGCTTGCCCAATGTTCTTGTTCTTGGGAAAGGAGAACAATACAAAGATATTAATTACTTTAGAAACAAACATACAAAGAAATGTACATATATGAAAATCAAAAATGAAGGCAAGCCTCTGGTAACTGCTACCTATCTTTTAATTCTTTAAATAAAAAAAACCACTATGCTTTCTTGCTTAAAATAAGAGCATATGGCTCTCCAAATTCAACTCAACACTGGATTTTTTTACATGGAGTATAAATTTTGCATTCTAAAAGCCCAGAACCGCTGGAATTTTTTTAATCAAAGAAACCAGAGATGTGATCTGTTTTTATTTCTACATATTGCTTTGGAAAGATAACCTGGATTTCAAATATGGTATATTCAAATCCACAGCCGAAACTTGCAAGGTTAAAAATTGACACAATTTTCCTCTCTGGCGCACCATAATAGACTTCGTGAAATAAATCAATCACACTGGATACATCAAATCAATATACTTCAGTCAGGTAATTAAGACATGATGTAGCACTCAAAAAACCCTGTTTCGTGTAAAATAAGTGTATGTTACTGATGACACTGATTCCTACCAGCGTACCTCTAATTTGTCTAGCCACCAAGTTATCCCTATACAGAGATACGAACTGATTAAATTGACAAGAGACAGATTTTCGGATGATCACCAAGGAAAATCCCTGAATTTCACAAGTCTGTGATCACTGCAGCAAAACTTACTCCACCTAATAATGGTCTGAGGGTCTTTTTATACACAGAGATGCTAGAAAGTAGTAGAAAAGGAAGAGAAAGCATTCAAAACTCGTTACTGGGATTTAAAGTACTGTACAGAGAATACAGATGCTGGAAGGAATGGGCAGGTGGCAACCCGCTTGCACAGCAAGAACCCTGCAGAACAAAGCCAACCCTGTAAACCACCTACCACAAGGCAAGACTGGTCTTGGACAATAGCTGAAAACAAGCAAACAACTAAGCTGTAACAGTACTTGAAATGCCAAACAGAGTTCATTTCATACAAGACCTCAGAATGTGAATGAGTGTAGCAAATACTAAGTAAAGGGTCTCATAGTCAGATTACTATTCCACACATTCTACACAGACCTGTTTAACCCTCTCCGAAATAAACACAATATTTTCATGCATATGTATACTTACACATGTATTTAAGATAACACATACCTAAATTACTAAAACAATCCTTAGTCTTCTTTTTTTTTGTTCAAGTTAGCTGAAGGACTGCACTGTACAAATAAAAACAGATGACTACTGGGGTGAGGAGGGGAAGAGAGGTGGGAAGAAACGGCTTTGCTGTAAAATGTTTTATTCCCCCACTGTGGAAGGAAATACTTTTTAAACAAGAATTAAAAGAAAAAAACAACATATCCTTACATACATTAAACAATTGTTTACCTTTTTTTACTTTCACAGCATCACAGAATGGCCTGGGATGGAAAGGACCTCAAGGATCATCAAGCTCCAAACCCTCCAATGCATGAAGGGCAGCCAACCTCTCCATTTAATACCAGACCAGGCTGCCCAGGGCCCCATCCAACCTGGCCTTGAACACCTCCAGGGATGGAGCATCCACAGCCTGTCTGGGCAGCCTGTTCCAGCACCTCACCACTCTCTCTGTAAAGAACTTCCCCCTGACATCCAACCTAAATCTTCCCTCCTTCAACTTAAAACCATTTCCCCTTGTCCTGCTATTATCTACCCTTTCAAAGAGTTGATCTCCCTACCTCTTTTAATAAAGAACAAGAAGAAAGCCATTTGATACCTCTCCTCTCCTACGTTTCCTCCCATCACCACACACAATTTTGGGGAATACAAAGAGGTAAATGTTGAATGACGTAAGTCAGTAGTAGTATTTAAACTGACAACCAGTTCTAGAAATTTCAAGTTTCTGTTCTGCAAAAGGGAAAGACTTCTTCTGTTTCTTCAAGGCAGTAAACTATCATACATCAATTTCCACAGCTCTTCCCCTCTCTCCCCGAAGGAAAGTTGGTACCACTTAAAGCCTTTTTGCAAAAATTACTGAAAGCATACAACAGGTAAAGATTATTTCAAAATAAACAGTGAATCTTCTGTGTTTCCTGGTTTCCAGATTTCACCTTTTGACGGTAAAGTTTGCATTTAACCTAAGGAGGGCAGGAGAACACTAAAACCAGACTTACTCGAACATCAGTAGCATCGCCATGCCGGATAATACTGGCCCACGTCGTTGGCTCACTGCTGGTTTCAAAGTAGTGAAAAACCTTTAGGACTCGCTCCATGGCCCCTGGGGAACGCTCCATCCCAGTACCGAGGTGCGTCTTTGCACTTGAACTTGGTGTATGATTCAAGTTTGGATCAAGGTAAGCTGCTGCCATGGTTTTGCTAGATGCTAGGTATCTGTCATATTCTGGAAAAGGGAAACAGAAAATAAATTAATTTTCATTATGCCCAAATTCTTAGACTGATTCAGACAAAACGTTTACCGCAAATTCTGCAAGACTAATTTTTAAGGCTCATTTAATTGCTTATTCGGAGCTCCCTACTAGAACAGTTTACTAAAACAAAATCTATTCAGAGTAGTATCAAAAAAATGGTGAACCTCACAGAGTACATCAATCTAATGTGTACAGCACACATAACAGAAGCGGCATCTTATACAAGACTTCTTCCTTCACTTTCTGTATCTTGATCCAGTCATCCTCCTTTGAAGAGCAAATGCTGACTTCCAGTTTTACCAGGAGCTCCCACTGCCAGGACCGCTCACTCAAAGTTGGCCTTACAGAAGCCCAAAGACTGGCACTGGGAAACCCTGACACCCAAGACACAAATCCGAATCTATATGATGGCGACGCACACCAACACCAGCCTCCCCAATTTAATGCTAAGACCATAGAAGATCAGTCTTCTATAAATCAGATCAGATTTTCAGCTATTCTCGGACGCAGTGGAACTCAGACCATCCAGAGTGAAATTCATCCTTCAACGAGGCACCATGAAGATCACCACTGAACGCCCTCCCAGCAACTGTGGTAGAACAATGTGGCACAGGCTGCCCACAGAAGCTGAAGATGCCCCATCCCTGGAGGCCTTCAAGGCCAGGTTTGATGGCAGTCTGAGCTGGTGGGTGGCAACCCTGCCCATGGCAGGGCATGGGAACTGGGTGGGGTTTAAGATCCCTTCCAACCCAAGTCATTCTACTATTCTACATACTGCTATGCCACTGACTTTTTGTTTTGTTTCCAAGTGATTTTCGTATCTAGCGGCAAAAGACACAGCCAACAGTATGAACCTGTATCTCAAAGAAGCAAAAAACTGCATCCTGGCTACTGCTGCGAATTTGTCCACAATGAGCAGATGGTATCTGAGAAATCAATACCGAACAAGAGACAAAAAGAGAAAACAATACATTTTCCTTTGCTTGATACAGCCTTAGGAATCATCTCAGTCTGCTGGCTGCAGACAACAAAGATCAATGAGCTGAGCTGTCAGGGCTGCACAAGTGCACCAAGAATTTCAGCGCCTCTTCCTTGCACAGTGAACACAGCAGGGAGGCAGTCGATCAAAAGTGGAAATGCTGAAGAACAACAAGCTTGATCTTTTGGGCATGGTACAGTGAATGCCTCCGAGTAGTAAAGTTGTCTTGGGAAAGAGTCAGAAGGAGAAGAGAGTGAAATTGCTTTAGACTCTACCACTGTTGAATATCTGAGTATATCCTAATACCAGACCAAGCTATCCAGGGCCCCATCCTACCTGTCCCTGAGCACCTCCAAGGCAAGGAGCTACAGCACAAGGTGAGAGGAAACCAACAGACTACCTGCACAGTATGACAGTAGGACTTTTTCAGTAAATCAGAGGGAATCACATCCACCCAGAGCTGTACAAAGTTCAAGTTGGCAATACTGGGTCAGACAAAGGCCTCAGATGCAAGCCTTTAGGGAAGGTAAGCATAGGCCAACAAGTGGAAGACACTTCTCCCAAATACTTCCCATGCCTAATACTTGAGGGAATTCCTATACCTGCTCATTGCTGGCTCTGGGAACAGACTGATGAAACTAAAGTGCTCTCAACTAATCCTATACTTATTTATAAATCCTTCCTTCTGTCCACTCTACACCAACAAATAGAGATCAGAAAGCAAAACCTTTTGTTTTATCCTCACAGAAGGAGCTGGCAAGCTGTTTTCATAAAAACCTTTCATAAAAAAAGCTGAAGCAGGTCTAACAATCCTCCTCTTGGCAGACGGAGACCAACACATCATGACCTTCTGCAAAGCTCCTCTCCTGTAATGTGAAATTGGGCTGTAAAACTCCAACAGAGGAGACTGGGGAGCAGCCTAAAGGCAACTCCCTTGGCCAAAGTCCTAACTGCTCTCAACAGTGTAATGACTAAGAATTAAATAGCAGTTTTCTGCTCAACTTGGGCCACTTTTAACTTTTTGCTATTAAGTTCTGCTTCCTTTAAAACCTACTACACTACCCCAAAGTCACTAGTAAAAACACTGAGTGTTATATGTCAAGCTTACCCACAACAAACAGTAGAAGAAAATCACCGCAAACCAAAGCAACATGAGGATTTCTATTTTTTTTTTTTGGCCACGGGGAACAAGAAGAACACCTGCTTTAATGTTTATGTGTAGCATGTCATCAAGTTAACAGACAAATTTAACAGATTTTCTTTGGCAGAAAAAGGGAGAAAAGCTACAAGGAAAAGCAGAAAAGTATTTTGAGTGTCTAACCACAGATTTATTACGGACAGTCTATATCCCTTGAGAGCTGCAAACAGGGAAGTGATGAAAGACATCAGTTTTATACACAGAAGTGCTCTTACCATAATTTCAGTGGATAAGAAAAACACTTATGACACAGGGAATTTCTAAATATGCATCATCTTGAGGAGAAAATACAGAATTCAGCATTGAGGACCATCCTAGGTACAGGATATGGCCAGTACTCACAGCATTTCACAGGACAGAAGCATTTAAAGGTAAAACAACTTCGTACTACAAGTCAGACAAGCACTTTTCCTTAAAAATTTCATCATCTTTGGGTTCTTTACAACTTTCAATCTTTTAAAAACGCCAGTGCTTTCTTTACAAGGTAACAAAAAGGCAGTAAATTCGGATAGCTCTTAAGTTACAGAAACACATGCCATAGCTCTGGTTATGGATCTATTAACTTAACCATTAAAACCAGCCCCCGGTTTTGAGTTTATGATGTGACTGTAAAGCTTTGCCCTTGGCCAAAATTCTGTAAAACATAACTGCACTTCTCTTAAGGACAGTTTGACGACTGTTTTACAAGATCTGCTTGGTTATTACAAGATGCAAAGAGAGCTAAGGTGACCAAACAAGGATGCTTACTTGAGCTTTTCTACATTCCAGCCAGGTTTGTGATCTCACAAAACAGACAGATCAGCTTTAGTCCTCTTGGTATTAACCAGACAGGCAGGAGGCTATTATACAGCAGAAATGAGCTACTTTGTTCTGACTTTATTCTGCCTGGTTTTATTGGGTACTGTGATGATAAAGGAGCAGAGGCACATCAAGCCCAATGGTCAACCTGTTTGTATGCAGAGCTGAGTGTTCTCTCTCCCTCTGGGCTTCCAAGATGAGAAGCTATCAATCTCCCATTTCACACACCGTACAATAAAAAAAAAACAACACAACACAACAAAACCAACATTATTTCCCAGTACTACAACAGCTTATTCCATGCTTCAGGAGAGTGGAGCAAAGCCATCCTGGCCTGCTGATATTAGGTGATTCTGCCAAGATGCTGTAAGCTGTTCCCAAATCACAATGTGCGTTATCATTTTGATAACCTGCTATCATCTGGCAGAATAGCTGAGATTTAGGAATGTAAATGGAAGACACTGAAGTGAGGTCAGAAGAGCCTTTATTATTATTATTATTATTGAAAACCAAACAAAACCACACTGCACAGCAAGGAAGCACTGCTGACCTTGCTTGTGCTTTTTTTTTTTTCTTTTTTTACAATTCGATTTTAAATGGCGGCCATTTTCACTACTGATATCTGAATAAATTACAATAAAGTTGTTTTTATTTTCTCAAAAACACAAAGTTATGAGTTCACCAACTGAATGACTTCTAAAAATCTGCTCACAACTCACTCACTGCTCAACTTAATTCCTGCTGACAACTTACCAGCACTGCATATTCCCCACATTTGATGACTGCAATGGAAACAAAGTCAATATTATGACTTCTGGCAGTACAAACAATCAAAGCTCAAAGTCATACTTCACCACCAGCTCTGAGTACTGAGAAATGAAATCCCTTCCACTAACGAGACAGTCAAAAGAAGTCATAACAAATATTTAAATCCATTAATAAAGTGTTAAGTAGTCTGATAGAGTCAACCTTTTCAACATCAAAAATGTCTGCACTACTAGCAAATGGATAATACATGGAAAATAAGTTACTCAATACAAGACTTGGCACATGGCCACCAACATGATGCCAACAAGTTTGTCTGACAAGGAACTGAGCTATAATTATTGACACTATGACTTCATCATAACCTTTACAACTACGGTGAAGTTTTTATAATGTTGCTGAGGTGAACCCATCTCAGGCTTGAAGACACCCAAATCTATGACAGTTTCTAGAAGAGAGCTCCAGGGGACCTCATCCACATGTATAAATACCTGACAGGGAAGGAATAATGAAGATGAAGTGAGGCTCCTCTCCATGGTGCTCAGTGAGACGACAATGACGAACAATAAAAACCCAGCAAATTGGTGAGGGCTAAATTAATAATTCCTCCCACACTACAACCATGTAATTGCTCAGGTTGGAAAAGACCTTAAAGATCATCAAGTCCAGCCACAAAGTGAAACAACAGCCAACTTCAAGCTCAAAATGGGAAAAGCATTTTGGAAGGGCAAGCCTGGGATCTCAAAATACTTACCAGAGGATATACTAAGTTCCTAAAACACTTCATAATGGGTCATGGAGGGATTGCAATCCCTCTGTAATTTTACCAGAATACCCAGGTTATGCTCTCTGTATGTACTATGTAGATCAGGGTAGATTATTAGCCTTTTTGAACAATAAAGCCCATCAGCAACGTCTCTCACATCACACAGTAAACACATGGTGAATTTAAAGCCCAATCCATTTTCACAGTCTGCATTAAATCCTGTTGCAGCTCACCTTGCAAACATTAACTTGTCTATCTCACTCCCACAGAAACTGAGGAAATAAGGCATAATTTTAAGTACTTCTCCCAGTACAAAACTTGCATTTTCAGGGGTCTGCACCAAGTTTTCCACACTGCTGATTCCTTTGATACATCATCTCCTGATATCATTTGTTGTTGTTGAGTTTCTTTGTATTTATGTATCAAAAGGTTTGGGACAGATGGATGACTCCCTATCACTGGGATA